TTTGGGAGAATTCGGGGACCCGGTATTCATAATTTCGGTTCGGTCCTATAAAATAGGCCAACGAGAGCAATAAACAAAGCTCAAACGGTCAAGAAATGACGGGAAAAACATGTTTAAATATGGCGTTATCAACCACCTCCTCACACCGGTGACGAATGGAGGGGATTAACGAGACAACCGAGCTTAGGAGGGCAATTATAAGAGAAGTGAAAGGAAGAAATGCCCAAATAATTACCTTCTCCATGACGTCTGGGGGTCAGATATCCTTGCTCACATTACCATTAATGCCACCACAGGTAGAGGGGAGGCGGGTTTTAGCAACCTAACTCAACGAATCATCACCACCAGAAGAGATCCCCATCTGTAGAAGGATTTCTCTGCTAAACATAAACCAGAGAGGGCGAATTAATGACGATATGATAGTCATTTTCTCTGGTTCTCCCACTTGGTATGCCTATAAGAAGAAAAAAAAACCTCCTCCTAAATTCTTCCCCACTACTCATCTTCCTCAAAACACGGAGTCTAGAGAGAAAAACCACCTGATATCATAAAAAACCAGCTTAGTTGGAGCGCTCCCCAGCAGAGACCAGCCATGGAACAGAATGAGAGAGTAGTGCGAGGGGTCAACATCCAATTGGTGATCAATGTCCAACCCCAAGTCGTTGGAGGCAGAGGAAGTGGGATGGCGATGCTGCTGGGGAAATGGATAACAGACAACAACATCGGCCTTTTCAAAGCAAGAAATGTTGCTGGGAGTAAATGGAGGCAATTTGGGGAGGCATCCAAGGAAGATGATAACCTCTTTGTCTATTCTTTTGCGTCGGAGGCACTCAGGGATGCAGTCTGGAACGGCAGACCTTGGAACATTGGAAACACCCTGGTGGCTGTTAAGAAATGGGATGGGGAGGAGAACACCAAGGATGTGGATTTATCGATATTCACAATGTGGGTGCAAATGCATGATCTTCGCAGTCATTGAAGAATGAAGCAACAATCAATGCAGTAGCTTCTTTCTTCTTCCCTCACTTCCACTGTATAGACATATCAAACATCAAGCATAGGGGATTGAGGAAATTCATCAGAGCAAAAGTGGAGGTTAAAATTGAGGAGCCCATTCCAACCGGGTTTGAGTATCCCTATGGGGATAGAGCAGTCTGGACGAGTTTATAGTACGAGAAAATTACTTATCTGTGTTATTTTTGTGGAAAGCTATGTCACCTAATCCAAAATTTTCTAGCAAGAGAAGAAAGCCGGATGCAGGGTTTGGGTATTGCGCCAACAAAGGTCTACACAGCGGTGCTGAAGGCATGACACAATTTCCTAGCAAACACACCGCCGGCATCTTTCCTCCGTCGACTCGATCTTCAGTTGGAAGAGAACCAACAAAGGGAGGTGGAGCTCGAACATCGAGGAAGAAAGGAGGTGTCGGCCCAACTGACATTGGCCCCCACTAGCCAGACTATGAAAGCATCATGTCCACCTGGCTTTGAGAATATGCAAATGGGGGGTGTCAACTAGCAATCCCAGAGGGTCAGACTGCCTCCCATGGAACACAGACAGGGTACTGGAGTACTGCTACCAACCTCACTAGCTAAAAGAGACCTGGCGGAGGCAACAAAGGTGATGTAGACCACTTTGCAGCTTAATGATGATGAACCCACGAAGGGAAAGGAAGCAGCTAACATGGAGATGGGCCAAGATCATCTGGGATTTCCCGAGATGGGCCAATAACTTACTTTGTCTGTGCCGCTTAGAGTGGACCACCCATCAAGCCCAACTCCTCTTAACAAGCCTCCGCAACAGAATATCTTGGGATCCATTATTCAAGAGGCCCAATATGCGGTCCAACTGATAACAGGGAGGCCCAGTGAGGAGTTCAGAGCTAGCTCACTAGAGAGAAGAAAGTCTGACCACCAAGCGGAAGCAGAGTCCTCCTCGTCGGAGCTTTCTTCGGTAATTAACATAAATGTTGATTCTTTTATGTTAATTTTAGGGACAGGAGAAGGAGCTTGATCTCTATCACAACAGAAGGGAACCATTCCAAGGACGGACAAAATCCGAAATCGAGGGCAGTGGTGGCAAGCCTTGAACACCTCAACAAGAATGAGGCTCATGAGCTGGAATTGTAGGGGATTCGGCCAACATCTTACAAGGCACTACTGCAAGAATATATGACACAGATATGGGCTGTCAGTCCTCTTCCTGATGGAGACAAAGAAAGACGAGAGCTTCTTGGAAGATAAACGAAGAGGGCTGAAGTTTTCAATGTTGGAGTATGTTAATCCTAGTGACGGAGGTAGTGGTTTGGCTCTCTGGTGGAAAGAAGATGTATCAGTCAGGGTTATTGATATGGATGGAAGTTTGGTACCGGTATTTGGGATATACCGAATAACATACCGAATTTATGACATTTGGTATTACCGAATATCGGTTTATTTTTTAGGGATTGGGATTGCAATTCATTTTGGAGTGTTATTCGGGATTACGGGATTGGAATCGATATACAACGAAATACCAAAAATTAAATATAGCACACAACCTTTAGTCGTTCCTCACCCTCTTTCACAACTTAGAAGCCTTATCCAACTCAATTTTGACTTTCCAATTTAATTCACTCTCGTCTCTCACCTAATCTTTTTTTACTTTCATAACACCAAAATGCAAAAACTAGTATTAGTCGTCTCTCATCCTCCAATTCGCTAAATTAAAGATTACCAATTACAAGAATTTGAGATGTCAACTCTCCTCCATTCTCCATATCCTAGCTCTAGGCAAACTCAAGACTCTTTGCTTAATCTCTTTGCCCTAAATTTAAACAATCAAATCTAATTTATGTATTTAATTATTAATTATAAATGTAATTAATTTCATATTCGATAATACCAATTGAGATACTGCAATACCGATTGGGATACCGAAATATTTAGGGATTGGGATCGAGATACCAAAATTATTTAGGGATTCGGATTGGGATTACTTTAGGATGTAATTCGAGATTTTGGTATTTGGTATTGGGATACCGTTACCGTACCGATTTCCACCCCTAGTTATTGATACCTATAAATTCTACATGGATGTGTATATTAGTAGGGGTAATAGGGAGCTCTTTTGTACTTTTGTTCAGGCTCCTACCACAGTGGTGGAGAGGCGTGCTCTGTGGGATCACCTCACCATCCTGAGGGATAGCCAGGTGGGTGCATGGTTGCTAGTATGAGATTTCATTGTTGATTTATTTGATTTCAAAAAAGAAGGATGATGCCCGATAAGGAATGCAAAGAGGGCTCCGTTTAAGTATTTCATTTAGAAAATTGCTTTGATTGATCTTGGATTCAATGGCCAGATTTTCACCTGAAAGAATATGCAGAGTGGGGACCATTTAATCATGGAAAGACTTGATCGTGCTTTATGTTCGACTTCCTGGAGATTGACATATGAGAAAAATCGCGTGTTCCACGGGTTGTTTGTTGAATCGGATCATTGCCCCATTAGGATGAAATCTCAATCCACATTTTCTCAGAACCTTTTTACGGCTAAGGAGCCTAGTTCCCTATGATTTGACCTTGATAGTTTCCCCATATTGGTCTCGTTAGAGATGAATTTAGCTCCTACTTCCCCCTTGAATAATGGAGAAATCCGTAAAGTTGTGTTTGAGCTGGGACCAACGAAAGCCCCAGGTCCTTATGGCTTTCCAGGGCATTTTTCAAAAGATACTGGGATATTTGTGAGGAACAGTTATGTGATGAAGTCAAAGGTTTTCAAGGATGTTTCCTTGCCTTCAGGCTGGAATGACACCTTCATCAAGATCATTCCAAAGGTTAATAATCCATAATCGATCGGGAAGTATCGACTAATTAGCTATTGTAATTTCATATACAAAGTGATTACCAAGATTATGACATCAAGACTTCAGGTTTGGCTGCCTTCGCTCATCTCAGAGCTTCAGTCTGCCTTTACGAGGGGGGGGGGGGAGACAAATTTAGGACAATATCATTATTGTGCATGAGGTTCTTAAACATTTCAAGAAGCATAAAACTGGAAGAAGGAAGGATATGATGCTCAAGCTCGATATGCGAAAAACATATGATCTCGTTGAGTGGAACTATCTTTTCAATCTCCTCAAGCCTTATGGTTTTGATTCATCTTGGTGCAGTTGGATTGAGGCATGCGTTTTGACAGTTAGGTTCAGGCTACTGTTTATTGGGTTGTCATCCAAGCCTTTCTCTCCATCGAGGGGCATCCATCAAGGAGATCCTTTATCTCCCCTCCTTTTCATCCTCATGAAAAATGCACTTTCCTTTTGTTAGAAACACGTTTCTTAGTGTTTCATTATTATTATTAGTATTAGTTGGGTGGAGTCAGGCGGCTAAGTATAGCCGAATAGTCCAGGGTTAACTATTAGGTTTTCGCGTTTATTTATATACTTGGGGTTTAATTCATAATTAATGAAGAAAAGTATTAAGCAAAGTATCTCTCCTAAACCTAATCTCTCTCAACTCCTAATTTCTATTCTCTCCTAATCCAAGGCCTTGGCCGATTCCCAATTCTATTTTGTTCTTTCTCATCTAAATCCCTAATTCTCTCTGTCAACCCCTAAATCCCTATTTGTTATGTATTATCGCGAGTACCGAAGATCAAAATCGAGAGTCCCTACAAGAGGGGATCTTTCAGTGGTATCAGAGCCCGGTTGCAGGCACCCACACCAGAATCATGCCGAGTTCTCAAGAACACGAATGGAAAGAAGCTGATCAGAGAGGATTCGCGGAAATAAGACAACTGCTGGCATAGATGGCGTCGTTCGACTGAAACAACGATGAAGATGATTGGTGGAACGATGAGGTCCCGGTGGCGGCAATCCAAGCATCGCGCTGACCGAGATCGAGGTTGAGTTAAAGGACGAAGACAACATTGTGCAGGCAGAGGAAGGAAAAGCCTCGAGTGAGCTGCTGCAGCGGGAGAAAGGGGCGGTTGTTACCATTGATGGGAAAGAAGCAGGCGCACTGTTATTTTTGGCGTTGTTGTCTCCCAAGAAAATGTGGACCTCGTGGTCCCGAACTCAGCGTTGGTGGGTCTGGCAGGAAGGTCGTTGCCAGATGAAGAGCTGAGGATCGAGATGAAGGAAGAGCAACCACCGAAACAGAAGAGGAAGAAGAAGAAACGCAATGGTGGAATCCTCTACTAACCGCCGGACATAGGAACGACGAAGGTTTTGAGTGAGCTTGAGGCGGAGATAAAGATGGCGAATCAGGAGGATTCGTCAGAGATTCAGATTGCACAGACCCCACGAACTCCTCCAGTCGGGTGACGAAGGGGAAGACGGCGCTGGGGTCGGGCTGGCCTCGTGGTCGCCGGGAAAGGAAATGAGGGAGAAAAAGACGAAGGAAGGTGTCGTTCCTCTCCTCCTCATGAACCCTAGCCAACAACAAAGAGTTGGTCGGGCCACAACCGAGTTCTTGGGTCGCCTTGTTGTCTGGATCACAGGGCTTAATGGGTTGGAGCATGGGCTGCATGGTCCATGGTTTAGCCTAGCAACAGTAGAAGGCAAATGGCTAAATTTTGTGATGGAAGCTTGTCCGCAAGGAAGTGGGTCGTCGGCAATCCAGCAAAGTAGATTTGGAGAAGTGAGTTTCGCTAGGCTCTTAATGGGCCAAGATGGTCTGACAGGAGGTTTAGTGTCGGGCCTAGTGGACAAATAAGGAGGTTATTATGGGCCTCGCATGTGCTATCATGTTGGTGGACTTATTGGTTTAGAATGTGGGCTTCCGATACACTTTAATTCAATTCAACTTGGAGAAGAATCTAGCAAACAAGAACTTGTCTTCACCACCCAGTCCATGGAGGGAGTTATCGAGCATTTCCTTGAAAACAACGAGCTAGAGCATAATAAAGAAGGACAGTTTTTCGACTCTTATTTTGTGAATTTCGTAAAAGAGGAAGAATTATTCGAATATGGAGAACGAGACGTGTGTCATGTTGTTCGAGAAGAGTTGAAGAAAATGGGAGCTAAAGAAGAATTTATTGGTGAGCAGGAGCGCAATTGGAAATGTAGAAAGCGGAAGGTCAATGAGATGAAAGTTGACTGCAACCTTGAGGACAAGGTCGCTTTCAAGGAGGGTGGATTGTTTGAAACATGTTTCTTAGAGTTTCATTATTATTATTATTAGTATTAGTTGGGTGGAGTCAGTCGGCTAGGTATAGCTGAATAGTCTAGGGTTCACTATTAGGTTTTCGGGTTTATTTTCTATAAATATGTACTTGGGGTTTCATTCATAATTAATGAAGAAAATTATTAAGCAAAGTATCTCTCCTAAACCTAATATCTCTCAAGTCTCAACTTCTAATTTATATTCTCTCCTAATCCAAGGCCTCGGCCGATTCCCAATTATATTATGTTCTTTCTCATCTAAATCCCCAACTCTCTCTCTCTCAACCCCTAAATCCTTATTTGTTACGTATTATCGCGGGTGCCGAAGATCAGAATCGAGAGTCCCTACAAGAGGGGTTCTTTCACCTTTCTTACTGAGAAGTCAAGTGGTGCTAACGTATCAATGGGCTTCGATTGAACAATAGATGCCCAAGGCTTAGTCATTGCCTCTTCGTTGATGACACTGTTATTTTTGGAGAAGCATCGCTGGAGGAAGCTGCTCAGTTATTGGATATAGTGGAAGAGTATGGAGCAATCAGAAGACAAAAAATTAACAAGACTAAATCCACAGCTTTCTTTAGCTTCAATGTCACTGGTCCGAAATGGAGAGTATTAGAAGCCTGTTAATTTTGATGATGAGTATTGTCATTCAAAGTATCTGGGAGTTTCGACTTCATGGGGAAGATCTAAGAAGGAAACTTTCAAGCTCTTGCTTGAAAAAGATGGAGAGCCAAGGAGAAAATTGGAAGAGTTTGCTGCTCTCGCCTGGGGGTAAGGAAGTTCTTCTCAAGTCGATTTTCCAAGCTATCTCGTCTTACCAATTGAGCATTTCTTGTTCCCTCGATTAATGACTAATAGAATGGATAGCATGCTGAAAAGATTTTTCTGGTATGGTTCAACAACAAAGAAAATTATTCATTGGAGAGCAGGAAATGTTCTCTATGCCTTGAAGGAAGAAGGAGGTCTTGGCTTCTCTCCGTTTCATTTCTATAATTTGGTGTTACTTGCAAAGCAAGCTTGGAAGGTCCTCTCTTCTCCAAATGCTCTGTGAGTCAGGCTATTGAAGAGTTTGTATTTTCCTCGTTGTGAGTTCAGAGAAGCTCGAAAAGGAAGTAGAGCTTCCTGGATTTGAGCAAGTTTGTGTGATGTTATGAAGTGGATGGGATTAGCGATGATTATTGGTAATGGACGATCCGCCCGAATTTTCAATGAGCCCTGGGTTCTGAGGAAAACAGGTGGATGTATCATGGGACTAGTGTGAATTTATTAACCATACGAATCATTTGTGGGATCTCTTGGCATTCGGTGATCCCCCGAGGAGGATCAACAAGCTATTGGTTTGATTCCCATTGGATCACAGGAAATGGAGGATTTCTGGGCATGGCGTTATATGACGATGGGGGATTTTAATGTCAGCTCAGCCTATCACGCTTTCCATGATTATCACTGGTTGGGAGGAGCTGAGAATTTTGTGGTTTCCCAGGAGGATAAGGTTTGCTCCTGAGATTGCCCTTCGGCCCCCTTCCCTGAAGTGATCGATTGGTTAAGGGCGGTAGGGAAGGTTTACCAGAATGACACTCCTCAACTGTTGGCATATTATCTATGGAACATGTGGAAAGCTCGGAATGAGAAGATTTTCAAGAATATCAACCCCTGGCCCCCTACACGTCAAAGACAATGCTAGAATTCCTACAATTGCCCTAGAAAGAGGAAAGAGGGGATCAATGTTTCTAGTCTGCTATCCCACTCCCATCCCACTCCCTACCACCTTAGGTAATCTCAACTATGAGATTCACTGTGATGGATCGTTCTTTCACGATTCCCAGGATGCAACATATAGTCGTTACTAACACCCATGGTGTCTGGTGAGGTTTGTGATGGAAAGGCTGGTTCCCTATTGTGCAGCTCAGCTTTGGAAGCGAAAGCGAGTGCATTACAAGGATGTTTGCTTGCATTGGAGAACTTTCGACTTTCGACCATGCATGATCAGGTCTGATTGTAAAACGCTGGTGGATGCTATTTGAGGAACAAGAAAAGGTTGGCGTGGATGGTTGCTGCGAGGCATGACATTGTTGCCTCTGTTCTTGAGCTAACCCCAAATGTGGGTATCTCCTTTGTTCGACGTGCATGTAATGTAAGTGTCAATTGGGTGGCCCGATCAAGTGCAAAAAACCTGTTACCAGTTGATTGGATCACCATCCCTAATGTAAATTTCCCACTTCTATAACCTTCGGCTTGGCTTTTGGGGATAATGCAGAGTCTCTTTGTAAAAAAAAAAAAAAAACAACAGCTGAGCATGACAACACAGCAATGCATATTTATATTAATAAAAAGCTTCAATCCGTAAAAAAGAGACACATTTGAGGGGTAGGCACGGTAGAAAACGACAAACTACAATTAAAATAAAGAAGAAAAAAAATGAAAGGTGAAAACGGAGGAGGAAAAAAGAAAAGAACGACTTGGTCCGTTCCACAATCCAAAGCCAAGGCAGGAATAATTAATTTTTTTGCCTAAAACCTGGAAGCAACAAAAGAGGCACTCGCCACACCTTCTCCGAGTTAAAAAGCTTAGAGGAGAAAGTTGAGCTTTAATTTGCATTCCTCAGCTCCGGGCGGCAAAGGATTCACTGCTGCTCCTCGCCACCTTTGGGCGCAGATGCTGCCTCCTTGATCTCGTCCGCACCGTCGTCCTACGAGAGAGGAGAGGCGTAGCCCCATTGGGCCAATTCAGTCACAGTAAAACATAATTCGTGCAGGCCAGTAGTTATACACCGGTTGAACTGACAAATTAGTGTATAAACTACACGAGGATGCTATTGGTTGAATATGAAGCGCGGTTCTTGAGAGAAAAATATATGATTCCGCTAAAACGAGTCTAATTTTCACCTGCATATCGGAGGTCCACAAGGTGAGATTATCGCGGAGAAGTTGCATGATCAAAGTGCTGTCCTTGTAGGATTCCTCGCCCAAGGTATCCAACTCAGCGATTGCTTCATCGAATGCCTGCCAAGGGAGACATTTCAGAACAGCTAACAGGAAGGGGGAAAAGGTGGGGCATTTGTGATTGCGGCAAACTTAAAACAACTGTAGCAGAGAACGTAAATGGCGGGAGGCTAATCCGCTGGTTAAAGTCCATGGCAATAGCGCAATCGTAGTACCTACTCTTGTCTCGCCTAAACAATTCCCAAGAAGAAAGGTGTGATGGTAGCTAACCTGTTTGGCGAGGTTGCAGGCGCGATCAGGGGAATTGAGGATCTCATAGTAGAAGACTGAGAAGTTGAGAGCCAATCCGAGCCGGATGGGGTGGGTTGGAGCCAGTTCAGTGTTTGCAATATCCTAAAAACACACGCACAAAGAAAAGAATGCAGGTGAGACTAACGATCAGATGGACCAATTTTACAAAGACGATTGTGACATCCCAATCCGCGCCGAATCCAAAACCTAGGCGAGCAGATCTGGCAACTATGGAGGCGAGATCTGAAGAATGACATTAATTAATTACAAAGAATCAAAAGAAACAAGGGGGCAGAACAGAATTAGTTACTACCTGAGCAGATTTGTAAGCAGTGAGGGTGCTCTCAGCGGACTCCTTCCTCTCGGCGCTGGTCTTGAACTCAGCAAGGTACCTGTGGTAATCGCCCTTCATCTTGAGGTAAAAGACCTTGGAGTCGCCGGCGGCGGCGGAAGGGATGAGCCTGGTGTCGAGCAGCTTCAAGATCCCGTCGCAGATGTTGGAGAGCTCGGTCTCGATCTTAGTCCTGTAGTCGCGGATCATGTTGACGTGGTCCTCGTTGCCGCGGCTCTCCTCCTTCTGCTCGATGGAGGAAATGATGCGCCAGGAGGCGCGACGGGCGCCGATCACATTCTTGTAGGCGACAGAGAGAAGGTTACGCTCCTCGACTGTGAGTTCCTCGCCGTCGATGGAGGCCGACAGCTTCTCCATGAACTCAACCATCTCCTCGTAGCGCTCGGCCTGCTCGGCGAGCTTGGCCATGTAGACGTTCTCTTCGCGAGCCGAAGTTGCCATCGGGAAGGAGAGAGAGCTAGATCTGGATTTTGATTCCTGGTTGGGTGGTGTTTTTTCCTTCTTTTTTGTTTTTTTCGGGCAGGTATTTCTCCTTTTTCTTCTTCTTGATGAGGCTGGAATTGAATCGCGAGGCAAGGAAAGACTGTGGCGTTAAGAGGAAAGAGAGGAGGAAGGAGGTGGGGGCTAATTTTGGGGGAAAAAGGGAAAGGGAGGGCGATGAAATCTGGACCGTCAGATATGTCTAAACAGATGGTAAACGTAGACCGGCTGTGGGGTGGAAAAATGGCATCAGGCCTAGCAGGCACGGGGTTTCGATTTAGCTTACCGATTCGTGAAGCGGGAGCGCGAGCGTGAGCGAGAGCGTGAAAGCGTGTATTCTTAAGGAATTATAAGTTTAGAGCGTCGACATAACGCTAATATTATATTATTTTAATAGAAAAAGTGAGATTAATTCAAAGTTCTATGATACATCCTACGTTAATGTCTTTAATTAACTAAAACTAAAAGATGAAACAAAATAAAAAACTTAAAAAAGCACAAACAAAACAAGCTAAGCATAATTACCAGGGGAAAACAAGCTAAGCATAGCCCATAAAAACTTACGTATGATAATTTTCCATGGGCCAACCAAAGTGTCATATTGAGCCCAAAATTGGCTGCCACTCAAAACCCTAAAAGAGCAATCTACAGCCGACTCTATCCCCACCTCCCTTCTTCCTCATATCAGCGACACCGACATCCTCCTCTCTAGATCCCCTTCCAAAGACTTATCCAAATCTTCACTCACCTGACCTCACATCCTGTCGATCTACCTTCATCCCATCGACACATCCCCACGTCTCCCTGAAACCTTAAAATCTTCGAAACCCCGACGAGCTCCACCGATCCCCCACATGACAATAAGTCATCTCCTCAAAGTTCAAGATCTACCCCAATTACTTGATTCTCTCCTAGATGGAGAGACTTCAGCACTTTCAGCTTCCTCCACATACCAGCCATCCTTCAACAAATCGATTGTTATCACCATCAACAATTTGTCTTCTCCTCTGTTTCTATCAGTTCGCGAATTTCTTTAGAAAATCCGCGCTCTGACCAGCAAAAATTCGCGAATTTTGTACGAACTCTCTCAAATTCGCGTTTATGCGCGCTAAAGCGGGAGCGCTGACCCCAATTGAACGAATTGTTTGACCTAAGTTTTGATTTGAATTTAGGGATAGTTTTGATGGATTAATAGTTAATATAGTATTTATATAGTTAAATAACTTATCAATTGTTTATATAGTATTTTAGTGTTAATTGGATTAAGTATTTTATTTGGTAGAACTATGTATATGTGGTATGATCGACAAATACATAGAGGTAAAACAAGTTATTTCAAAATAACACAAGGTTAGAATTTAAATCACTCACTGTCCAAATAACTCATTTCAGTAAAACACTGTCAAATGAATTATTTGAGTCCAAGTCACTCATTCAAATACTTCATCCAAACGATCACTTCTAAAATAAAATAGAGTAAGATAAACTTCAAGCATAGAAACTAAACTGTGTTTGGCAAACTAGGGGGTGCAAATTCGAGGGGAGTACAAGTTCAGTGCTTAGGATATGATCGGTAACCAATGGTTACTGACCTATGAGCAGTGTTCAAGAAGACGCTGGGCGTCAACGAGGCGGGGAGGCACCGCCCAGCGCCCAGGGCGATTAATCGTCGCCTAGGCGAGATTAAACGTGGAAAAAAAATTGAACTAAGAAGCCCTTAATTCACCATACTCATGCCTACAAATCTCAATCCAACATACCATCTGCTCTCCCTTGCTTCATCTTCTTCTTCAGCAGGCCTTTCCACCCCCAAAACCGTCTTCCCCAGCAGGGCTTCAATATAGGATTAGAGAGAAATTTTGAGAAAAGAAAAAGATAGAGCTAGACCAGCAAGACCCTAGACATATCGAAGCTCGAAGGAGAAAGAAGCAGCACCTTCAATGGAGGAAACTTCTTTTGGAGACCGGCGGCGAGGATGAGGAGGCGAGAACGAGGCGCTACGGCGACCCCCTGATTCTCCAAAGCTGTCTGCTTCGTTGGCGAAAGAAGAGGACGAGGCGGCTTGAAATGACGGTGGTCTGCTGGGTGGAGAGGAACGCCGGTGGTCGACTGGTTGGAGAGGCGAGAGAGGGACGACGGCCGGCTAGGTGGAGAGGAGGGAGAGGAACGATGGCGGTTTGGAGAGAAGGGAGAGCGACGGCGGCTGTAGAGACTAGAGAGGGAGAGCTTCTCGCTTTCTGTAATTGGAGATAGGGTTTTTCCTTTTTCAGGCCTTCCTCCTAAAACGCACAACACCAAAAGTTCATCTCCCTCTTCTCTTTTCTGGGCGTCGCCCAGAAGCCCACAATCGCGACTCCCCGCCGTTAAACGCGCCTAGGCGTTTTTGATCGCCATTCAACGTTTTCTACGCCCAGCCCTTTCGCCCAGCCCTAAACTCCAAGAATTCTCCATGCCCAGCTATGAATCGCGCCTAGGCGCGTCTTCTTGAACACTGCCTATGAGTAACTAAATCTGGACCTTTAGATCTAAGTATGCCCAGAAAATCCAGATCTAAGAATTGTCAATTAAAGACATTTTATTTTTCCTAGTTTTCATAATCGGCTCTTATCTTCTTTGTTCTAACTCGGATTTCAATTTTTTTTGCACACATGGAACGAGTTCGTTATGCTCTACAAAATGAGATCAATTTTCAATATATTTCGAGATACTTTTTTTTACCAACTACATACCATATGGTAACTTCTTCGTTTTTAAGTCGTTTTTGAAAACGTTTGCTCAAAAGAAACGAGTTCATCATGATCTATTGGATCTGGGTGAAAAAAATACTGGACAAAAAATTACCATACTTTACCACTATGGTATGTGGGTGGTAACTTGTGGTAAACAATGATGAAAGTCGTAAATGACAGTTAGTATATGTAACACCCCGGTATTTTAGATTTAGGTTCGACTTTAATACGTGATTGGTTTGATTGACGGTTACGTACTAAGAGTTACAATCGCGGATTAAGAATAATAATATTATAACATTATTATTATAACATTATTTGTAGAATTAAAAAAAAAGGAATCAGAGTGGGGTAACAACTATTTATTGGAAGTTAGCTACTTACTTAGAGAAAGAAGTTCCTACCCTTACTATATATTACACACAGGCTTCCTCTATCCCTTCGAGCGGGGTAACCAACACTACGCCCCTAACGACTCTTTTCTATACTATTCTATAACATGTAATAGCTATCCCTCTATCCTAAAATGGCTAGTTTAGCATTGCTCGCTACGCCCCTTAGGTGCCTAAGTGGCCAACACCTCCACTCCCCCAATCCCTAATTAACCCCCCTAATAAAATCTCCACATTAGCCGCGTAGAGATTTCCAAAAAACCCCACCCGCCCATACAATAATTCCCCAGACCCCCGCCAATAATCCCCATCCCAGATTTCCCCAAACCCGCCCTCTCCAATTAAACCCTGCCGCCCCTGCTTCCCATCGCGAGCAAGAAGAAGCCGCCGCCTCCCTGTGCCCCGACCCCGACCTCATCCCTTTTTGTTCTACGTAAGGATCACGAACCCCTTCGCGATTCCTAAACTCGATTTATCGATAGTCTAATCCGAAACTCGTATTTTTATTAGCGGTGACGTTGAGAGTTCGATCAACAAGGAGATCAACGTCCCAAGTCATCCAACCTAGGCCTAGGCACGTTCTAGAGGTAAGGGAACTCGATCCCTTTGAGTTAGATCGATCGATTTGGTGATTTTTCGTGAGGGTGCAATTCAGGGTTTTTACCAACAGGCGTTACAGGCTTTTAGTGACAGAGTTTGATGGGTCACTAAAGCTGCTGGGAATTTCCAGAAACGTATTTTTGGATATTTTAAATTGTTTCGAGCCTCTCTCAAGGTTGTTTTCTAGATTTAACAATTTTATAAATTGAGCGACATCTAGGAGATAATTTTAATTTAATTTGGGAATATTTGAAGATGTATATCTATTTTTTGAAATTGATGGTATTTTTTTTAATAAAATAAAAATATTTCCGAGGGGTTTTTAAGGGTTTAATAATTTTCCAGAGTATAGGGGCTCATGATTGACATGGGAAAATTATTATCCGAATGTTTAAGAAGGTTCTAGTTAGGTTAAAAATTTGTCCAAGTTAAAAATAATTAAGAAAAATGGTCGTTTTTAAGGGATTAATTCTAGAAAATTTTAATAGGGGTTAAAGGACCCTTGGAATGAGGTTCAAGGACTGGAGTTTGAGGAGAGGATTTTCTAGTGATTCAAAAGGGGTTTTAAATCAAGAAAGGTCGTCTAAGAAAATGGATTCTTTTTAATAGGTTTCCCCAAGATAATCCGGCTAAGGAGGGGTTTCTTCGAGGAAGGAATTGAGGAGTCATCTTTTCGAGGTGAGTGTAAAGGGGTTAATATCTCAGTCGTAGGTCTTGTAATTTACGCCTTTTATTTCAAGTTATTATTTAGTTAATTTTCTAGTATGCGCGATATGTGTGTGAGGCATCCCACCGCATGTAAGAGTGGAGGCACGCGTTGTGCTATGTATGAATGTATGTGATGTTGTATGGGTTGATGGTATGAGGAACCCCCGGGCGGTTGGGTCACTACTGGACGGCGAGACGTAACGTAGTAGTTGACGGGCATGGACTGGACGGCGAGACGTAACGCAGTGTCATTGGCGAGTTTGGGTATGCAACCGGACGGCGAGTCGTAATGCAGTTGGCATACTAGGGTAGGACACCAGACGGCGAGACGTAAAGCGGTGGTCCTAGTGTTTTGTGTTGAGATAAGGATAGAGGTCGAGAACTTTTATGAGTTAATGTTGAAGTGAGTTGATAAGAATGGTTATTTAAGAGCAGAAAGCGAGAACGGCTTTCATGCTAGGAAGGCATTCTCCTAATAATGTGTTTAGTAAAGGAGTTTGTCTAGGGAAAAGACCTTAGGGAGTAACGACGAGACTGACCCCTTCTCACTCACCAGGTGCATAGAGGGGAAGAGGACGCATCCATCAAAAGGAGATAACCCGAGGAGAGCAGTCGCGGCTAACCTGAAGATGTCACCTGGATCTGGGTAACGAGATGGGACCTCCCATTATATTTGTCTTTAGTTTCATGTCTTAATGAGTATACTGGGGT